CTGGAGCATCACTCCATGCACCAAGAGGTCCCCAGTTTGACTCCCAGTCAGGGTACATGCCTGGGTTTTGGGCTCAGTCCCAATTAGAGGTTGTGCAGGATGCAGCTGATCAATGATTTTCTCTTTAATTCCTCTCCCTTCCTCTCTCTCTAAAATCAAATATATATATTGTAATTTTATATATATAAAGTTACAAGAGACAAGGAACACTTTATCTTAATAAAAGGTTCAATATAGCAAGAAGATATTCTATATAATAAAAGGCTAATATGCAAATCAACTGAACAACCAATCACTATGATGCGCACTGACCACCAGAGGGCAGATGTTCAATGAAGGAGCTGCCCCCTGAAGGTCAGTGTGCTCCCATGGGGGAGCCACTCAGCCAGAAGTCAGGCTCACAGCTGGCAGTCAGACATCCCCTGAGGGCTCCTGAGGGTGCAGGCCAGGCTGAGACACCCCTCCCTGCCCCAGTGCATGAATTTTGTGCACCTGGCCTCTAGTAACAATTATAAACACGTGTGCACTAATGGCAATCATCAAAATATGTGAAGCAAAACCTAACAGAATTGAAGTGAGAAATTGACAGTTCTACAATAAATAACTGGGGACTTCAATACCTGCTTTCAGTAATGGGTAGAATAACTAGACAGAAAATAAATAAGGAAATAGAGCACTAACAAAACAAAACAACTAAATTTAATATACATATACAAAATACTCAACCTAACAACAGAACACACATTCTTCTCAAGTGCATATCGGACATTTTCCAGGAGAGACCATTTTTTTAGACCACAAATCAAGTGCATATCGGACATTTTCCAGGAGAGACCATTTTTTTAGACCACAAATTTTTTAGATTTAAAAAGATAGATGTCATCCAACCACCATGGGATGAAGTTAGAAGTTATGGGAGTAAAATTCATAAATTTATTGAAATTACACAACACATTATTAAACAGCCAACGGATAAAGAAGAAATCACAAAGAAAATTAGAAAATACTTATAGATAAATGCAAACAAAAATGACACAGCAACAGCAGTGCTAACAGGAAAATTTATATCTATAAATGCTAACACTTAAAAACAAGAAAGATCACGTCTAACACAGAGGCACACAGTTGTTCCAATAAGTCAGAACAGGCAGTGATGTCCAGGTATAGTCTTTGAGTTCCATGCAGTAGGGTGACGTGTCCAGAGAACTCTCTGGAACACAGGTCAGGGCACAAGGAAGAAGAACAACTGTTTCCAGTATAATTCATGGTACATGGTGCTCACGCCAGGGGCACAGAATAGGTGAGCCTGGCACCCATAGTGTTCCACATGATAGGAGCTCTGGACTTGGATGTGAAAGGTCATTTGTTATGTGAGCCCTAGGAGGTAATCGTGCCTCTCTTAATAGTCTCTCCAAGGGTGTTTGAGGCATGGCCAAGCACTGGGAAGATGCTTGGAGAGTGAGGTTATGACCAGGAGGTCATGGCACGATGCCTGGGTTGGGAGTTTGGTCCCCAGTAGGGAGCATGCAGGAGGCAGTCAATTGATAATTCTCTCTCATCGTTGATATTTCTCTCTCCCTCTTGCTTCCTCTTTCTGAAATCAATAAAAACCTATTTTTAAAAATAAATAAGTAAATAAAAACAAGAAAGATCTTAAATGAACAACTTAACTTTACAATTTGAACTAGAAAAAGAACAAATTAAACCCAAAACTAGCAGGGGGAAAAATATTAAGCAGAGACAAACAAAATAGAAAAACAATAAGAAAAATCAATAAAGCCAAAAATTGATTCTTTGAAAAGATAGACAAAACTGACAAAGATTTAACTCAATAAACTAAGAGGGGGAAAAAGAGACTACTCAAATTACTAATATCAGAAATGAAAGTGAGTGAGGACATTTCTATCCATTCTAAAAAAATCTTTAAAAGATTGTGAGTGTACTACGAATAATTGATGCCAACAAATAAAGTAACTTAGATGAAATGGACAAATTCTTAAAAACACAAACCCTACCAGGATTAAATCATGTATAAACAGATTTGAAACTTGAATCCATTCACTTGCTAGCTGCATGATGTTAGGTAAGTCACTTAAACCCTCTGAAATTCCATCTAATCACATATATGAATGGGAATAATAATAGAGCTCATTGCATCGGGTATTGTGAGAACTAAGTGAGCTAAAGGATGGATGTGTTTTCTAAAAAGAAAGCTTCCATCCTGCACTTGAAGATTAATTCATCCCTTCTGGGTCTCAGTGAAAACTAGCATTGGGTTACATCCCCTTGTCTATGTCTATTGAGTTTACTTAGACAAGAGGAAAATGCCCCAAAGTGGATTTTGTTCTCTCCAAAATCCAGAAAGCTCCACCAAGTGTTGTGTCTTCCTTCATGGTGGACAGTACAGATATAGCAACTTGTCTGCTGCCTCAGAGGGACTATCCATATATGCCCCAGACTAACAATAGCTCTCTAGAAATTCCACCAATATGGCAAGTCCTGGACTATTACCAGGTACATCTCCCATTCTCTGGCATGCACACGATAAAGCACCTAGGGCATCTGCTGTTGTTGTTACTTACCGTCAGCCGACACAATGTTATTTATCAGTGTGATGGACGGGCATGATATCCTGAGGAATACCAAGGGATCAAAGTCTCTTCAGACTCTGCCAAAGGGCCAAAGAGATGACTTATCCTGGGGTAAGGCAGTGAATCTATGTTGCTATACATGGGCGAAAGCTACTACTGATTATCTTGGTCAATAGAAATGAAAGAAAAAAATCACTAGGAGCAGGTCTAAAGCATGGGAAGAGAACAAATAATGCAAAAGCAGGGGCAAATGTGAAGTTACATGTTTGGTTTCAAACAAACCAGCTCTGATTTGAGTGTCTCTCCAGACTGTAACTTGACATTTTAGATAATCGGATCATGGTAGAATTTGCATTTGCTTCTTCCTCTGCCTCCATAAGATTCAAGGTTTTCCAGGAGTCCTCACTCTTCATTCCGCCTAACACAGAGACACACAGTTGTTCCAATAAGTCAGAACAGGCAGTGATGTCCAGGTATAGTCTCTGAGTTCCATGCAGTAGGGTGACGTGTCCAGAGAACTCTCTGGAACACAGTCAGGGCACAAGGAAGAAGAACAACTGTTTCCAGTATAATTCATGGTACATAGTGCTCACACCAGGGGCACAGAATAGGTGAGCCTGGCACCCATTGTGTTCCACATGATAGGAGCTCTGGACCTGGACGTGAAAGGTCATTTGTTATGTGAGCCCTGGGAGGTAATCATGCCTCTCTTAATAGCCTCTCCAAGGGTGTTTGAGGCATGGCCAAGCACTGGGAAGATGCTTGGAGAGTGAGGTTATCTGAGAAAGAACCAAATAAGAATTTCTGTAGAGTATCCCTTACCACCTACCCACTCCGGTGATGTCTGTGTTGGTGGTTGGTCATGACCTCTTTCCCAAGGCCCCCTTGCCCAAGAGCAGCTCTTAATACAGATGGAGAAGATCCTTAATACCAGGAGCCCTGTGATGCTTCTGAGGTGGGTCAGAGGCTCTGGCCTGATGGAGGCCGATTTCCTCCTCTGATGTCTCCTGCATTGGTGCCCATCAGGAAGCACTGGACTGGAGTGTCACACTGCACACCTGCGTCCAGCAGTAATTTGAGTTTTTCACACTTGATGCCAAGTCCTGATTGGCCACACAAGTTTCAGTGCCTGGATCTACAATAGCCCCATGACCATTTCGGAGGAACTGTTATTGCACAGACGGGTAGGGAGACTGTGCCCAGTGATTATTCTCACTGACTCACCATGAGACCACGGACAAGACTCATAGCCACCTGTGTTCATTAATCCTTAGCAGCATCACAATGGAACCACCCCCATGGCTTCCCTCCTGATTAAAAAAGAGAGAGGGAATGAGGGTGTAAGGAGGAGGATTTGGGATAGGTAGGGACCGCTCAGTGAATGGAAGGTGCTGGAGTCTTAGGTTCTGACACTCACTCCAGGCCTTATGTCAAGAGTGGCCATACTGCCAAAACCGGTTTGGCTCAGTGAGTAGAGCATTGGCCTGTGGACTGAAAGGTCCCAGATTCAATTTCAGTCAAGGGCATGTACCTTGGCTGTGGGCACATCCCCAGTAGGGGGTGTGCAAGAGGCAGCTGATCGATGATCCTCTCTCATTGCTATTTCTAACTCTCTGTCCCTCTCTCTTCTTTTCTGTAAAAAATCAATAAAATATATTTAAAAAAAAAAAAAAAAAAGAGTGTCCATACTGGTGGAGGATGAAGTGGGAAACTTGGGGTTGGCCCAGGTACTCACTGCCATGCCCATGGTCTCACCACATGGAGAAGATGTGAGCAAACAGGGAGTTCAGAGGAAACACCCTCCTCTAGCCATATCATGAATGGCCTGTCACTCAACTACTCTGGGACTCGTTTTCTTCATTATAAAGCAATAGTTCCCTGATGTTTACAAGGAGAGGGAGAAGAAAGGGACAGGGTTGGGGCAAGTTAAAGAGGCTCCCTTGGGGGCCTCGGACACTGTGCCCCAGGTTCAGCCTCTGCCTCGCTCATGGTTAACTTGGCCCTTGTGGCTCCAGGATAAGGATGTTCTCTTTCGCACTAGGGGATACCACCCATGAGCAGTTTCTCCCCCTGGGAGTACTGATTCAGTGAGCAGAGCAACAAGAGGGCTGAGCTGCCAGGGGCCTGGCAGAGTGCATGGGCCAAAGGGAGAGAGAGTAGAGAAGCATGACAAGGGGAGAGGGACCAGGGACCAGGACCCAGAGAGGTGAGGGCGTGCTGGGGTCTGCACTGGGTTCTCAATGATCACAAGCACTAGGAATAAAATAGGCAGGTCCCTGGGCATTTGTTCTGGTTTATTTGACAGAAACAAGCCATCCAGATAGTGAGGAGGTTGACAGCCTTGTACCCAGGATTTAAGGTCGCAGGTACAGTTTTAAGGGGCTAGGGGAACAGATTACACAGACCCACTCACAGGAGATCCATGCAGACGTTCCCGCAGAAGGTTGAACAGCAGACGGTATCTGAATTGGGACACTTTAGGAAATATGAACAGTGGTTGCTACAATGTTGTACACTGGGCTGCTTCTGACAGGCCTTGGCGGCATCTAAAAGGAACAGAAGCAAGGTCAATGGAACGAGGCCACACAAAGCACTCCTCTCAAGCTTAAAGTCTCATCATGACTCCAAAACCCAGGTCCCCTCATGACGCTCTTGGACCTCTCCGGGAACGTCCTTTCTGCCCCTCACCAAATCCTGGCGATAGGTAGCATCTTCAGTTGATTACTTCCATTCTCCATCAACAAGGTTTAATGTTCAAGCTTTCTGGACCCTTTCCATTCTCCTGCAGCCAGGACACTGGTCTCATATTAGCCATGGCCTTGGTGAAGCCACCCCCATAGAATCTACACTCTGACTCTGAGAACTCAGTGAAGTCTGAGACATGTCAAATTTTGCTGTCCAAAAGTTCTTTCACTCTAGACCTACCTACTCCCCCAAACATGTCTGGATGCTGACCTGTCACATATGTGCCTAAATGAAAGAATTGACTCAGCTCTGTGCACCTTTCACTATTGTATGTACCATTTGTCTCTGGACTTAGAGAATGGAGAATAAAAAGATGTAGGTTGCCCTCCACCCTCATCACTAGTCCCTGGGCCCTGTAAGGGGGCTGGAGGGCAATGATTTGGAAGGACCCAGAGTCTTCAGAGTCTTGTGGTCAGAGATGGATGTGCTGAAAGGTTCAAGTCCAGGTCACCCTTAGCTGGACACAGCTCCTCCTTCCCCCTCCCCATCCCAGCCCCCAGCCCATCACCTACTCTTCATCTTGTTCCTCCTAAGGTGCCCTCCCTGGGCTTGCAGCAGCAGGACACAGAGAAGGAGGATGGGCAGCAGAGCCTGGGTTGGCATGACTCTGACCAGATCAGTGGGCTCTCTGTCTAGCACAGACTTTCCTGGAAGCTGGTGGGTGGAGGGAAGGTAAGAAAGAGCAGGTTATTCTGGGCTCCTCCCTGCCTCCACTGGCCAGGCCAGGGCAGGGCAAGGAGTCCTTGTGTCCTACAGTGGGCCTGCCCCTCCCCTCCCCATAGCCTGTTCTATGTGGGATCTGGGCTTCTGCAGAGACTGCCCTTCCTGTCACATAACTAACCCTCTTCTTTTGCAAGCAGAGCTTTTTTCCTGAAAAATATATTTTCTATATTCTAATTAGGAAATAATTTATAGAAAATTATAAAGAAAAAACATTATATATGTAAAAAGATATGAAAACAAAATAAGTCCATCTTCAGATGAATGGATAAAGAAGATGCAATGTAGCCCTAGCTGGTTTGGCTCAGTGGATAGAGTGTTAGCCCCCAGACTGAAAAGTCCCAGGTTCAATTCCAGTCAAGGGCACACACCTCAGTTGCAGGCTTGATCCCCAGCAACTAATTATTGTAACTCTCTTGCATCAATGTTTCTCTCCCTGTATCTCTCCCTTTCCTGTCCACTCTCTCTATAAATCAATGGAAAAATATCCTCGAGTGAGAAATATATATATATTCCTCACTTGAGGATATATATATATATATATATATATATATATATATATATATATGAATATTCCTGCAAGACTTCCAATGGGCTTCCCTCCCGCCACCCCCACCTCGCCCACTGGGGCCACATCTCCGAGGCCACATGCACTGCCACCATTCACTGCGCCTGCCGCTGCCACAGCCTCCATGGCCACACCAGCTGCCGCCACCTCTGGGGCCGTGCTCACTGCTGCTGTGCGCCCTGCGCCGCCCTGGCTGCCTCCTGCTGCCACTGCCTCCTGCGGTCGCTGCGCACCTCGTCCTGACCCGCCCCGAACCGGCTGCCAGTGCTTTCTCTCCAGCAGCTGCAGCCACCTTGCTTTCCACTTTTCTTCCCTCTTCCTTCTATGCTGTCTTCAGTCTTCACTCCTCCCTCCCTCCGCATATGCAAATTAACCACCTTCTTTGTTGAGTTAATTTGCATACTTGCTCTGATTGGCTGGTGGGGCAGGCCTGGTGGGCCTGGCTTGTATAGTGGAGTGGTGGCTAATTTGCATATTACTATTTTATTAGATCATATATATATTATAGAAATGATCAGGTCTGCAAGGGAGGGCAGTTATGGGAGATCAAGCCAGCAGGGGAGGGCAGTTGGGAGGCACCAGGCCTGCAAGGGAGGGCAGTTGGGGGTGACCAAGCCAGCAGAGGAGGGAAGTTGGGAGCAACCAGGCCTGCAGGGAAGGGCAATTGGGAGGGACCCAGCCTGCAGGGGAGAACAGTTGGGGGGAACCAGGCCTTCAATGAAGGGCAGTTAGGGGCAAACGGGCTGGCAGGGGAACAGTTAGGCATCAATCAGGCCGGCATGGGAGTGGTTAGGGCATGATCAGGCTGGCAGTCAGAAGCAGTTAGGGGCAATCAGGCAGGCAGGTAGGCGAGCAGTTGGGAGCCAGCAATCACAATCTCCTGGATTGTGAGAGGGTTGTCCGACTGCCCATTAAACAGGCAGTTGGACATCCCTCAAGGGGTCCAGATTGGAGAGGGTACAGGCTGGGCTGAGGCACACACACAGACACACACACCCGTGCACGAATTTCATGCACTGGACTTCTAGTATTGTAATAACTCTCTATGGTACCCGGTGTTACATCTCCAGCAATACAGAAAATATGCAAATAATTGTATGTGTAGGTACCAGATTTATCAGGATGATCACTTGTTAAGTTATATAAATGTCTAATCACTGGTTGTACATCTGAAGCTGAAATAATGTTATATTATTGAAAATAACAAACGAAAACAACTAAAGAATTACAATACTACTTATGATTTCACTTGAAAATTCAGCCTCTATGAATAAACATAACAAAGATGTGGACAATGTGCAAAGTTTTGTGAAAGAACATTAACAAGACTTAGATGGATGAGAGAAATAACAAGGTTAAGCTTAGGTGGAGGAAAAGGGTATAGATACCATATCCTGGAGTGGGTGTGGTTAGGAGGTGCTTGGATTTCTGCCAAATCCTCCAATAGATCGGAATACACAGTAAAAAGCCAATCACAGCATGCCTTCTCTTTTCCCTCCTTTCTTCTCATTTCCCCTAAACTGCGCCTGTTCAACCCCTGCAGTCCTCAGCCAAGACTTACCACCCATCCTGCCAGCAGCATGAAGCCTGCGCTACTGCTTCAGCTCCTGCTGTTGATTCCCCTAGCACCACACCCGGTGTCTGCGAGTCTCAAGCAAAATATTATGAGTAGGTGCTGGGGCCCGCCCCAGGAGAGGGAAGAAGCACCTGTAGGGGGGGTCTGAGGCGTACTTCATGAGAAAACACCATTCATGGGCGTACTTCATGAGAAAACACCATATGTTCGAGTCCAGATTTTGTTGTCATTAAGATATAGGTTGGAATGCCTGTTCTGTTTCTCACTGAGGGATCTTGGGCAACATGTCTGGGCCTCGGATTTTACCTTTGTGATGAATATAATGATATTGGGGTAGTTGGGATGACAAACAGATAATGCATGCAGACACAGAGCACTCTTACTGGACCATGGTAAGTATTAACTACTGAAATGTTTTCAGCCTCATTACCCAGCTGATTCTTGCTGCCCTGGTTCTTTCATGGGTGTTTGGGCCAACTTTTCAAGCATTAAAGCAGAGAGGAGAATTAACTTGGTAGGACTCAAACTGGAACCTTCATAATCTTGGTTTTGGAAAATGTCTTAGGAAGAAATGAAAGCCTTGCATTTTATAACTCCGCTTAAGAACTCAGAGGTGCCCATGCAATTACCAGTGATTAGCATCAATCCGAAGCTCTATATAATTATTACTCAGTAAATGTAATCCATCTCAGCAGCCCCATTGACCAGCTCAGCCTAACAAGAGTGCTAGCTACAGTAATTTTGACCTTGACCAATACCAAAAGGAAAATGCCTGCACATTTCTGTGGAGAGGACATCTTCAGAATATTGGGGGCTCAGAGCAGGAATATGTGTGGTATGTCATGTGTCAAGATAGACAAGGTCCTGTTTTAAGGGTCTCAGAGAAGGTTAGTATGACTGAGGAAGGCTAAGCAAGCTACACGAGAATGGGGGTACCCAGGGTGGAGTTAACTGGCGAATCAAGAACTAAAATTTGGATATAGGCACAAACAGGCTCTCTGTAAGACTGGCAAGGGCTATGACTGGAATTGCAACTTGATACCCAGAAGAGGAGTCAAAACTTGAGAAGGTCGATCTTCCTGAGATCTTGGTTGATGGATTCCTTCCCCATGTTATTTCATGGAAGCCAACCTTTGCAAAATGGGAACCAGTTCCAGTTCCTGGCACTGACTCAGATTGTCAACAGGCTGGGCCTGGGCTTCTTTCACCCCATCTCTGGTGCCATTTGCTGTTACAATTATAGCCCCACTTTTATTCACTTATTCTTTTGAGATTAGCTTTGATATTCCACAGACCCTCTTCTAATTTCAAATTCCTGCAGAGTAATACATCAACAGGGGCTTATAGAATGCCCCACCTATGATATTTTTCCTAAAGAAAGGGCAAGTCACAAGACACAAAATTTAAGGCCTGGCTTAGATAAAGGGGCTCATGGGTCTCATTCTTAATGCCTTAGAAATCAGAAACAGCAGAAACTGGTTTGGCTCAGCAGATAGAGCGTCGGCCTGCGGACTAAAAGATCATGGGTTCGATTCCAGTCAAGGGCATGTACCTTGGTTGCGAGCACATCCCCAGTATGGGGTGTGCAAGAGGCAGCTGATCGATGATTCTCTCTCATTGATGTTTCTCTCTATCCCCCACTCTTCCTCTCTGTAAAAAAAAAAAAAAAAAAAAAAAAATATATATATATATATATATATATATATATATATATATATATATATATATATATTGTTAAAGAAAGAAAAAAGAAAGGAAATCAGAAACATAGAGAAGGTTGCAAGTTGAAGGCCTGGGACAGAATCTCCTGGTGGAGGTAATCTTGGCTTTGATCTGAGTGCCCGGGGCTGAGGGGAATAAGATGTCAGCATGAAGATTCATAGCCTTCTCCTGAACAGCAAAGATCTGGAAAGAAGGAGAAGCTGATCTTTGACCCCAGAACCTGGCCCCACTCTGAAATACCCACTCTTCTCCTCATGAAAGAAGTCACGCCCAGAACTCATTTGTGATTTGGGTTCTAGTATTCTGATGCCAGTGCCTTTTGTGTGCTGTGTGGCCTTCATCCTTTCCCAAAATATTCCCTTCCATTGGTTCTGCTATGCACAAATAGCACTTGATAGATTGACTCTGGGCTAAACTATAAGAGAGGCTTTATGACCCGCTTGAGACTACATAATGAGTCAGAGCAAATGGATTTACATATCCCTTTCTTGCTCACCATACGTACCATTTATTCCCTTGAACTGGACCCAAGCAAGTTTCTGGGAACTGGGCATCTGATCTGCAAGGATGGTGAATGACCAATGGATGTAGGATTCTAACAAACTGTGTCTTTGATCAAATATCCAAACCCTGGTTTTCCCTGCTGAGAACTCTGTAGAAGGCAACAGCTAAGGGGAAAAAAATCTTATTCCTCTTCCATGTGGCCACACAAGGGAGTTCAGGGTGGCTGGTTTCTTGGCAGCTCCTTGGGCTTCTGGAGTTCTGAATGTTACTCCATGTTGTTGGTTAGACTCTTTCTTTCCTGTTCTGTGTTCCAGAGTATATTTTGGAACCTCCCCCCTGCAGAGTCGACGTTGGAAACTGTACTCAATTCTGTACAATGCAGAAAGATTGCCCAGGAGGACTTCAGTGCTGCTCTGCCTTCTGCGGGATAATCTGCACATTGAACAAACATATAAAACATAAAAAGTAAGGAGCTTCTTATGCCCAGGCCTGAGCCTGGAGCTTCTGGTGGGA